ACCCTCATACACTTCACATTACTGTGAATTTTATAGTTGTGGAGCTCTGTGATAACCTCATACACACTGCACATTACTGTGAGTTTTATAGCTGTGGAGCTCTGTAATACCCTCATACACACTGCACATTACTGTGAGTTGTATAGCTGTGGAGCTCTGTGATACCCTCATACACACTGCACATTACTGTGAGTTGTATAGCTGTGGAGCTCTGTGATACCCTCATACACACTGCACATTACTGTAAGTTTTATAGCTGTGAAGCTCTGTGATACCCTCATACACACTGCACATTACTTTGAGTTGTATTGCCGTGGAGCTCTGTGATACCGTCATACACACTGCACATTACTGTGAATTTTATAGCTGTGGAGATCTGTGATAACCTCATACACACTGCACATTACTGTGAGTTTTATAGCTGTGGAGCTCTGTAATACCCTCATACACACTGCACATTACTGTGAGTTGTATAGCTGTGGAGCTCTGTGATACCCTCATACACACTGCACATTACTGTGAGTTGTATAGCTGTGGAGCTCTGTGATACCCTCATACACACTGCACATTACTGTGAGTTGTATTGCTGTGGAGTTCCCAGGATACTCTCTCATACACACTGCAATAATACTGAGAGCTTTAATGCCGTGGAGCCTCAGGATACTCTCATACACACTGCACATTACTGGAGAGTTTCTATTGCTGTGGAGTCATGCGGGATACTCCTATACACACACTGCACACTGTGAATTTTATAGCTGTGGGAGATCTGTAGGATAACCTCATACACACTGCACATTACTGTGAGTTTACAGCCGTGGAGCTCTGTGGTCACCCTCATACATACCCTGCACACATTGTGAGCTGTATGCTGTGGAGCCTGCATACCCCTCATACACACTGCACATTACTGTGAGTTGTATAGCCGTGGAGCTCTGTGGGATACCCTCCTCATACACACTGTAACATTACTGTGAGTTTTATTAAGCTGTGGAGCTCTGTGATACCCTCATACACTGCACGTTACTGTGAGTTTTATTACTGTGGAGCTCTGTGATACCCTCATACACTGCACATTACTGTGAGATTTATTACTGTGGAGCTCTGTGACACTCATACACACTGCACATTACTGAGAGTTTTATTGCTGTGGAGCTCTGTGATACACTCACACACACTGCACATTACTGGGAGTTTTATTACTGTGGAGCTCTGTGATACACTCATACACACTGCACATTACTGGGAGTATTATTACTGTGGAGCTCTGTGATACCCTCATACACCCTGCACATTACTGTGAGTTTTATTGCTGTGGAGCTCTGTGATACCCTCATACACACTGCACATTACTGTGAGTTGTATAGCTGTGGAGCTCTGTGATACCCTCATACACACTGCACATTACTGTGAGTTGTATAGCTGTGGAGCTCTGTGATACCCTCATACACACTGCACATTACTGTGAGTTTTATTGTTGTGGAGTTCCCAGGATACTCAAGGCCACACTGCACATTACTGAGAGCTTTTATTGCTGTGGAGCTCTGTGATACTCTCATACACACACTGCACATTACTGTGAGTTTTATAGCTGTATTTCCAGGATAAATTCTCATACACACTGCACATTACTGTGAGTGCTCTTTTATAGCTGTGGAACTCAGGATACTTCATACACACCCTGCACACATTGAGAGAGTTTTATTGCTGTGAGCCCAGGATAATTTCCCTATACACACACTGCACACACACTGTGAATTTTATAGCTGTGGAGATTCAGGATAACCACACACACACTGCACATTACTGTGAGTTTTATAGCTGTGGAGCCTGTATCCCTCATACACACTGCACATTACTGTGAGTTGTATAGCTGTGGAGCTCTGTGATACCCTCATACACACTGCACATTACTGTGAGTTGTATAGCTGTGGAGCTCTGTGATACCCTCATACACACTGCACATTACTGTGAGTTGTATAGCTGTGGAGCTCTGTGATACCCTCATACACACTGCACATTACTGTGAGTTTTATTGCTGTGGAGTTCTGTGATACTCTCATACACACTGCACATTACTGAGAGCTTTATTGCTGTGGAGCTCTGTGATACTCTCATACACACTGCACATTACTGTGAGTTTTATAGCTGTGGAGCTCTGTGATACTCTCATACACACTGCACATTACTGTGAGTTTTATAGCTGTGGAGCTCTGTGATACTCTCATACACACTGCACATTACTGAGAGTTTTATTGCTGTGGAGCTCTGTGATACTTTCATACACACTGCACATTACTGTGAGTTTTATAGCTGTGGAGCTCTGTGATACTCTCATACACACTGCACATTACTGTGAGTTTTATTGCTGTGGAGCTCTGTGATACTCTCATACACACTGCACATTACTGTGAGTTTTATAGCTGTGGAGCTCTGTGATACTTTCATACACACTGCTCCTACATCACAGTAAGTCTGCCAATAAGAGACTGATGTTTCTCTCTTCTCCTGTATGTGTGTTCGATACTGGCTATAACTGCAGCTAACATTGACCTCTCTCAGAGCCTTCACAACACTATATCAGACCAAGGAAACCTCCATAGTTTGTGTTGCTGCTATAGCACATCACGATTTATGGTGAAAAGCCAGAGGTTTATTATTGAGGCTGAACTTTGCACTAGGATTTGCTCTCTCAGTGTAAAACCTGAAAGGTGAACATTTAAGGGCGAGGACTTCCAAATATCAGAAGGTAACTTCATGATGTTCTTCCTTTCTGACAAGCTGGAATCTAAGAGAAAAAAACGCTAGATACCCCTAGGGGGACCAGCTGGATGTGTATCTGGGGCGTCCAAGATAGGGGATAACCCTCACTTGTGTGTGCAACTAGAGAAAAAGGAAAACAGACCAGGTGGGTCAAAAGAAATAGGGCGCCCCCTAATTGATTGCCATATATGTATGTACAGATAAAATATAACCTTTAATAATTACTGTATTCCAAGCTGGAATCTAGGTGTAGTTTTTGGCTTTCAAGTGTCAGCTTTGCTTGAAGTCAGGCAGAGATTTAAAAGCCGAAAAAAATGGTCTGGTAGAGAATGAACCATTAGACCAGGGGTAGTCAACATTTTAATACCTTCCACCCACTTTTGTATCTTTGATGGCCCACCAGTGCCACAGTAACTAATTTTATAGCGCAAGTGCGATTTATTTTTATTTTTTAAATTTTTAATTACTTTTTTTTTTTTTTTTAAGAGGGTTTGAGGGGTGCAGTGTGTGTGTGTGTGTGTGTAGGCTGAGTATGTGTGTGTGTGAAGGGTGAGGGTGTGTTTGTGCGTGAAGGGTACAGTATGCGTGTTAAGGGTGTAAAGGATGCTGTGTATGTGTGTGTGTGAAGGGTGCTGTGTGAGGGGGCAGTGTGTGTGTGTGAAGGGTGCTGTGTGAGAGGGGCAGTGTGTGTGTGTGAATTATAGTATGTTTGTCTGGGGTGCAGTGTGTGTGTTAGAAGTACAGTGTGTGTGAGGGGGGCAGTGTGTGTGAAGGGTGCATAGGGGCTATGCTGTGTGTAGGTGAGTGAGATGTTAAAATCTATCTTAATATCTCCCTCTCCATTTGTCTTATCTTTTACTAGGGAGGGTGGACATAATGCTGCAAGCCCTGGTGGTCCAGTGGTGGCATGCTCACTTTAGCCTGCAGCTCCTCCAGCTGACTCTCCTGCCCTCCTGTGAGCGCAGCACTGTATCGGAGCGTTGCCATGGTAACACGCAACAACGCTCTGACCAACCTGCTCGTGGGAGAAACACAGAGCCCCCCAGGTCCTTCCCTCCCTCTGCTGGAACTAAGTGGCAGCGGGCCGGTGAGGGAGATCTTTGATCTCCTCACTAGCCCTAGAGGGTTTACAGCATGGGCCGGCACGTGACATAAAAGGATCTCCCCTGCTGGCCTTGGTCCATGGCCATCGAGGCCCACCAGGGGTTTTCTGCAGAACCCACCACTGCCCACCTGAAATCCCAAACTGACCACTAGTGGGCGGTAGGGACCAGGTTGACTACCCATGCACTAGCCCATCATTGTCTGCTCAGATCTGTGTTACTGTCTTACTGATAACTGACAAACTAACAGTCCAGAATTCTAAAAAAAAAAAAAAAAACGAATTGCAACTATTTGTCTTTGGTGGTAAAATTCTCCTGCCCCCAATGTAAAAGGATGTGATATAAATTGATAGTTATTTTGTGTCTTTCCCTGGATGATCATGACATAAACAGATGGGACTGGTATTTTCCATCCATGTGTACACGAACAAAACACGTCTGAGTCACAGTGGACACCCTCTCGAATTTACTATACTCCTGCTCTCTGGTTGGAAGGTGACCAGACAGATTCAAACTAAATCCAAACATGCAGCTAGAATATATCTGTAACGGGATACCCGGAACACGTCCAATATAAAACATGTTTATTTTTTTGTTAAGTTTTCTTGCCAAATCTGCCTCCCAATCTAATAATTACATATTTCACAATAATAGTTAATATTTTTTTAATTATGAGTGGATGTATTTATCTAGAACACATGTTCAATTTTCATCGGTTCTTGGCCTGCAATCTCTCAATCTCTCTCTCTCTCTCATGTTCCTTTACGATTAGAACATTATCACATATTTAGGGTGTGTTCATGAAACGTTCGTTCTTGCAGAAGTCTAGAGCTGCTTGGATCCAAAAATAATTGTCCGTTCTAAACTGTCAACTCATGTATGTACGTAGTGGGCATAGGATAGAATTCCCTTCATCCCCCATAAAACCATAACTTACCCCTTCAAATAACGACAGACAACTTCTTGGAGAAAAACAGGCCACAGCATTTATTAACACAACCAAATACTGTATGACTCCTTTAACATATAACGAAATAATAAATATCATAAATTAACATAAACAATTTGCATATAGTCATACAGTAACCAAAGAAACCGTCCTTGCCAATCTAACTTCCCCAAGGCTCTCACATCCCCCCCCTCGGCATAATAAAAACATATTCCTTTTCAGTGCTCCCCACCAGCCGTTTTTTTCCGCTGGGTGGGGCCCAACCATAATGCTCCCCACCGGTCGACTTACAACCCAGTGGGGACACGTCCAACCTGGCACCTCATCCAGGTTCACCATAAGAGACAGGGGGAGGATGAGACCAGGCCATTATCCCCCCTTTTCATCTAATCTACCAGACCATCCCTTATTTGGCAAGGACACACCCCCGCCTCGCTGTGACAACCCCCCGGGCCCAAAGCAGCAAAGGGAGGGTGGGCGGAAAACTTGTTGCTGGCCCGGCTCCTAAGTGGCACTGAGGTCAGTCTAATCTGTCACCACCCACTTCCTCACATCTCACACTCCCACACATAGCCAATCATGCATCATCCATCCCACACTCATACATGTGCCCCTGTCCGCTAAGCTGCGCACTCTCCCTGGGGCCTACACAGTCACTGCTACATTGCACTTAGAGCTGCTGTTTTCTGGAAAGCACGGTTACTTGTTTTACATCACATATGGCAGAGGTAAGGTCCTACAGAGTTCTACATGTCACTGACATCACCGCTGGGGGTCCGGTGCTGTACTCTCACGCATGCGCAAAAATACAGCATTGAGGTCTATGTAGGATCCCACGGTCATAGACAAAGTTATTCCCCTTCCACCATCACTTGTGACGGCTGGGGAGAATGGCACTTTAAGACGGCAGTTGCTGAATCCAGTAGTATTTCATTGAGATTGAGATTTTTTTGGGGGGGGGTTGGTGGGGTTTACAGTGCCACTTTTTAGATTTGAGATTTGCAGTGTTTGAGAACTTGTAGAACTCATACCCAAGTGCACCTATTTAGGAGGAACAGTCTCTATTCTGGCCCAAATCCCGCTGTCCCTCTTTTCTATGCTAGTGTCCCTCTTTTCTAGGAGCTCCATATTGTTGGTGTATCTAAGTGTATAACAGAGCCCCACAGCAATAATACTCCCAGTAATGTGACTGAGTGTATAACAGAGCTCCACAGCAATAATCCTCCCAGTCAGGGCCGGACTGGCCCACCTGGATACCGGGAAATTTCCCGGTGGGCCGTCGGCACCTGGGGCCGGGCAGACAGCTGGCTGACCTGCGGCCGCAGAGGGAGCTCTTCTGGCGGCCGCAGGGGGAACTGTTCTGGCTCTGCTCCCCTGCCCTTGCGCGCTACTTAATAAGAACGGTGCCGGAATATGACATCATATTCAGGCCCCAGTCTCATTAAGCTGCGCGCTGGGGAGCAGAGACTGCACAGGCAGCTCCCCCCTGCGGCTGCCAGTACACAGGTAGCAATTATGTGGGTCAGTGTGAGTGTATGTGTGTCTGTCTGTGTCACGGTGTGTGTGTGTCTGTCTGTGTCATGTAATGTGTGTCTGTGTGATTGTGTGTGTCTGTCATGTAATGTGTGTCTGTGTCACGGTGTGTGTGTGTCTATCATGGTGTGTGTGTCTATGTGTAATGGTGTGTGTCTGTCTGTGTCACGGTGTGTGTGTTTCTGTCTGTGTCACGGTATGTCTGTGTCATGGTGTGTGTCTGTCATGGTATGTGTGTGTGTTTTTAAAAATAGTGTTTTTACACACCTTTTTTTTCGCCCACGTTGTGCTGGTCTCCCCTCGACTGGCCCTGCCTCTATGGCTGAGATCATCAAGCTTGATGATCTCAGCCAATCCGCACTGACACAGGAAGCACCTCTAATGCCCGAGTGAGTGTCTCACTAGGAAGCAATGTAAACACTGCCTTTTCTCTGAAAAGCCTGCAGGGACAGGCTATATACACCAGAACCACTACATTAAGCTGTGTGTGTGCGCGCGTCTGCTAGTGAGTGGGCTTGCTTGCATGTGTGTGTGTGTGCCTGCTACTGAGTGAGCTTGTGTTTTTATGTCAATGACCAATCAGTGAGATTGTTTGTCTTTGAGGCTGTGTATCAATCAGCTTGTGTCAGTGAGATTGTCTGTGTCTGCATTTGAGTATGCTTACTGTATAATTAAATTTTTTATCTGAAAGGACCAATATTTTATATTAAAAACTCAATCATCTGGGGTGTCAAGACATAGCCTTACTATTACATGTGACAATATATGGCGCAATGACTTATGGGGCTGGCATAGATTTTTTTTTTTTTTCCAGGGCTGCTTTGTATCCCCAGTCCGGCCCTGCTCCCAGTAATGTGTCTGAGTGTATAACTGATCTCCACCGTAATATTACGCCCAGTAATGTGTCTTTAAACTACAATAAATGTGTTAAAAAATCAGTAATAATAAGATACACTGTTCTTCTTATCAATACATTTTAGTTGTATACATTATTAGTAAGTCACATCCCCACCTCTGGCTACACCCCCACTAACACCCCTAAAATTAAAATGCCCCTCTTTGTCCAGGTGAAATGTTGTGGGGTCTCAGAACTGAGACCTGTTGAGTTCCACAAGCAGAATCCTCATGGAATTTCATTTTTGGGGCACCCACTTTAGTGGCAATATCAAAAATTGAGTTTGGTGAAATCCTTGGAATTCCCTGCAGAATGTAACTATTGCCAAGTGCAGGAGAATTGTATTCGTTCATTTCTTTGGATTCAAATATTACTTTATACAAAATCATCAGCTCCGAAGGAAAGTCCGCAGAGGCCCGTGTTTGGCAGACACGTCGCTCTAGGTCTCTGGCCGTCAGAATACAGTGTGCGAATAGATACTGGCACAACACCTGCACTGTTCTTACAAAGCAGCATCTGGTCACCAGGAGCGGTCCTGTAAAAAACAGCGAGATACCATCAACGTGTCTCACAATAGCTATTGGGAAACTGTCACTCCACAGACACATCGAGCCGGTGTAATATAGAAATACAACTCAACATGGCCGTGGATTGAAATGGCAACTAACGTGACCTAAGGCACTTATCAGACATAGAATAAAATGCTGGTTTCACAGTTACGTGTTTTACTCGATATTGACTTGACGTACACTTTCTGTAATGGAAACTTGTTATCTGTGAACTAAAAGTAAAAAAAAGTGATAATTACCCCTTTTTTTAACCATATCCCGAGAATAACTCTTGTATTTTAGAGACGATCTAACGTCCTGTTTATTTCATGGTTCCAGACAGTCAGAAAGAATGGCTACTGTAATACGGAACTCGATACACTTCGTGTGATTGGCTGAATCCTGTTTCAGGGTTAAGAATAGATCAAATTCATTTCAAATTTTATGGAGATTTTGACAAAGTGGGAAAAAGAGAGTGATAGTTCCTTTAACTGAATACCAAAATTCAGACACTTTGTTAACGTTTGCAGTATGATGTCATTTATTTAAAATTTCTCGAACCCCATGGTGTATGATACCCACCCTTCGAAAACACTAAACAACACTTCATTCATGGGGAAAAAAAAGGTAGATTTAGAAACAGGCTCTCACTACTTGAGAAAACATGCACCGTTTCATCATAAATTAATTCGGCCAGACCCAAGCATCAAACCCCATTACTGAGATTTAGATAAATCGTTTAAATCCCTGTCTGCTAGAACTGCAGAGTACACTCCTTTCTGGCAGATTTGATGAGTTTTTAGATTTTCTGTGAGGGGGGGGGGGAATCTATGATGGCTTTTTGAGTAAATTGACTTTAAATACATAATGGAGAATCCATCTCTTAATAAGCAAGCGTCGAGCTCGTTTTCTCAGTGTTTCCTTCGTTATGTCAACAAGCTGCGTAGGAAATGGTTTTATTGAGCGAAGGGTAATGTTAGATGGGAGGTTAATTGGACATTTGAAACATATGGCCGTGGCGAATGGGCGTAATCACCAGATTTTTTTTAAGACCACATTTCCCTTTTTGAATTAAATGTGATACATTTTAAGACAATTAGCACAGGGCAAAATATGGTATGACTGCCAAGTGAGATGGTGGTAACTGCCTTCCAGCTGATTCAAGGTCCATAGTGACTATATATTTTCATTTTGTGTGATTTTTGGCTACTAATATGTACGGTGATCCAACATTTGGATGATTCAGTGTTTGTATAATATTTGATATATATTATTTATATGTATTTAATATATAATGTTTGATCTATCTGTCTAGTACCTCTTTTTATTTTTTTACCTGAAATGGTAATATATATTTGAAAAGTCCCACTTGGTTCTCAGTTTCCCCATTTTCCGTGTGAAATAAGTGTCTCCTGCAGTTCAAGGAGAACCGATATCTCATCACAGTCTAAAATGGCCGCTTCTATAGATTGTAGATCAATATGTCTGTTTTGACTTTCCCTTCACCCATGACTGGTCTATTTCAAATGAAAGCTGTACGTTGTTTTAGCGCATTTGTATATACCAAGTACACCTGTTCTGGAACCAAACCCAACTCCCAATCCTCGTCTCTCTCTATTCTCGGCTACAAAACAACTTTGCGGCCATTGTGGCATACATTTTTATTCTTTGGCACGTTACTGCCGGACAAGCGTTATGTTAAGTTTGTCCCACAACAGATGTCAAATTATCTATTGACAATGTTTAATCTGAATGTTTGAATATCGGTGGAGCTTGCCGTCTCATTACATCCAACATGTAGACGATTCCATGCAAGCTATAATATGGTTAATAAATGTTTGTATTTTACTGGCCTTGCGGGGATGTTGTGCAGGCCAAACCAAGACCAATATTTAGCTTAGCTGATTAATATAGAGGGTGTTGAGTCAGTAGAATGAGAGGTGTTGGAATATGTACCCCTGGTATCGTCAGAAGGAGAGGGATGTCTGACGCCAGCTGCCTTCAATAAACACCAGATTCCCCACCCTATTTAATGAGGGCTACATTTGGAAGGGGGTATTTTGTCGATGACTGCCCTAATGCACAGCAGGGAGGGGTAGGTGTTATGACAGCTGAAGGGCAATCTGTCCAACTGTGAAAGTAGAAGGGAAACCTATTTTATCTAATAATATAGGGATATAGTAAATCCAGCTGGAGGGGATGGGATTGACATTAGATGACCTCACCGTTCATCATCATCTATTAGCAAATGTGTGCAGCGAGGGAAGAGCATCAGAGCGACTTCTTTGACAGGACCGGGGTGCGAGGAGACGGGATGCGGGGTACAGTACAGCTAACACATTAAAAATAGACGCGATTCCCAGGAAGCATTGAGAGTCACACATCTTGAGCAGAGAATTTAATTTTCCAGAATAAATAGGTATTTACTCAGAAGTGGAAAAAGGCAAAAGCCTCAGGGCCAGATTACAGTTTGATTAATGTGAATATGGAGTAATATTGGACCTTTCTAGAAGGGTTTCACAGATCTCCAGTTACAATGTGTGACTTAAATAATCACAGAATTCTGAAATATCACTGTACTGCAAATATGATCTGTAATCATTAACTTCAATCTGGTGGTAGTATTTTAAATGGTCAGATTCTCTGGGTGAATGGACAGATTCTCTGGGTGAATGGTTCGATTTGCAGGGTAAATGGACAGATCCTCAGGGTAAATTGTCAGATTCTGTGGGTGAATTAACAGATTCTCAGGATAAATGTGCAGACTGACTTTATGAACAGACAGATTATCGGGGTACATGATCTAATTCTCTGTGAATGGTCACATTTTCAGGGTAGGTGGCCGGATTTAGGTGAATTAACAGATTCTCACGGTAGATGGGCAGATTCTCTGTGTGAATGGCTAGATTCTCAGGGTAGATGGGCAGATTCTCTGTGTGAATGGTTAGATTCTCAGGGTAGATGGGCAGATTCTCTGTGTGAATGGTTAGATTCTTGGGATAGATGGGCAGATTCTCAGGGTAAATAGGCAGATTCTCGGGTAGAATGGACAGACTCAGGAGGTGTATCAGCAGATTTTCAGAGTCTCAAATTGAATGGGCAGATTCTCTAGGTGAATGGACAAAATCTTATGGTTAATGGGTAGATTCTAGGATGAATGGGCAGATTCACAGAAACCATCAGTCTGGTGCTGATTCCTTCATAATCACCAGTAATATAACGGTATTTGGAAATCGGGCTATTTATCACATTTGATACAGCCTAAATCTCAGCTTGCATACAATGTAACTCTATTAATATTATCCCTACATCCCAAGGAAGGGTTTCCATGACGATCACAGTTACGCTGCTGTAAGTATTAAGATGTATCAGTGTGATGGGCTATAAATACACATTGAAAGATCTCAATGTTCCATTGATTTACACAGTTACCAAGTGTAAATATTGCTGTTTGTTTATGATCTGTAGTAACAAATATAATAATCACAGCTTATTAAAACCTTGTGTAAGATGGTGAGACGCGTGAATGACCATAGAGTACATTAACTCTTCTAAAGTGTCAGCATTTGGGCCATTGTGAGAGACTGCTGGCTCTGCAGTCTCTCGCTGCCGGCTCCGTGAATATTAAAACGTTGGGAGATTATAGTCCGACAGCTAAACATACAAGTTAAATATTTTATAAGGAGGGAACCAATTAAAATGTGTACATTACGGATCAGTGTGCGTTGGTGCAATGTGTATTTTGTAAAATTATCCAGAATCTGGCTGCGATCCTCTGCGGAGGCAGTTATGGGTGGAGGCATTAGCCCTGTATTGCCATCAGAATAAATATAATTTGCCGCATTTCACAGCCAGGCTAGTGAACCCCGGTCTAAATGTTCAGATCTCATGTTTTTACAGCTCCTCGTGCTGTGTCCGCTGGGAGCTGCACATGTCTACGTAAAAGGGATATTTATTTAATTAGTCTAAAAAATGAGTTTGAGCCTGGCGTTACCACGTCCATTGCTGGAAAGCAGTATGTAGTCTGAAACATAATGCCTGTCTGTGATCATTTGCATATCACGCTGGGAACTCTGGGATAGTTTTGGTATATGATTTCTCGAGATTTTGCATCCAAGGAGGATTTTCCAAAGATCAGTTTGAGAATTGCAGGTGATGCACATCTTTGCCTTTATTAGCTAATCACGAAGTATCCAGCTTCCCTACCCACATATACTCCCCAAACTACCAGCAGCAAGGTAAATATATATTATTTATTATTGCTGCGTAGTGTATATCAGCAGGGGAGGCCAGAGCGAACATGACAGATTTGGAAACTCTGCGTAAGTGTTGGATCTGGGCTAAATGTACTTTTTCCCTAGAGGAATGTATTTTTTTTTGCTTCAAAATGCAGAAACATTTGCCGCAGAGGTCGTAATACATTTTTCACCACATGCCTGGTTATTCTGATAGATTTATCTCTTTCTATGACTTGTAGAAATCTTGCTTTGTGCTTTAAAACGAACGGGAAAATATCATGGAAAACATATCTTTGAACATTGGTAATGTAAAAGTCTGGAATAAATGTGTATTGCGTTATTGCATAAAACATAATATTTTTTTAAGCCTGAAACGCACCATTTTAAGTTGATCACGTGCCACAGGTGACAATTTCCAGACTTTGTTTAGTGATTTTTTTGGCAGAGTGTATTAAATCTTTTATTAACCGATTCCCCCTCCACATCCCTTAATTAATTCGCAGAGTGGATTTAATTCCGGCTATTTTATCACGAAGCAGTTTGATAAAGACTTGTTAGTTTTATCTAGCAGAACGAGGAAAGATACACGCTTTTGTTTCCTTTTTTTTTTTTTTTTGCTGAAAGCGAGGATTTAGCTGTCAAAAACATGAAATTGAATTAAAAATGTCCTCACGTTTAAAGCAGAATACAGGACAGCTGTGTAACAGGTTACCTGGGGAAAAACATCTGGATAAGAAGGAAAGGGGGATTTAAATCCTAAACTGGGTTTATGCTTCCAATAATAATTATATCAAACATTTAACCTAGGAAAAGTACACTTGGCTTTTCACTAGTTTGCACGTCAATCAGAGGGTCTTGATGTTATAATCATGCTGATAGGGGCACAGTCGGATTTACCGGCATATTCGCTAACCTTACCCTGAACCCATTAAGACACGGACACAGGTTATACTGTTGGAAATATTAGTCCACAGCTTTATTAATTATTAATTAATTAAGGAATAACAAATAGGGTCATTGCGAACAAATATTATTAACATACATAACATACCCCTGGCAATGACGCCACAATAATAACAATAAATAACAATCTAACATATTAACACAGAAACTGGCCATCCAATAGGACCACATTTCCACCAGATTAAATTGTAGGGGTGTACCAAGACACTGCTACACCCACAAGTTCAATTGTATGGGTGTAGCAAGACACCGCTACACCCCATGTTCGGAGCCACCGACTGGCTCAAACCTACCAACCAAGTGTGACACTGCCTAATCAACAATAAACCTCTGGATGCCCACTTCCTCCTCCATCTACCCCTCGATTTATCCTGGCCATTCCCTGTCACAGCTCAGGACTTGACACCTAAAGCATCTGAGCACCCCCCACCACACCTAAACAGGGCCTGTTGAAGGCCCAAAATAAATAGGTCACACCCCACATCCGACAGATATACACTATCCCTCCTGAAGTACCCAGGAAGCATGCCTTCCATTTCCCAGTGCCTCACTGCCACTCCACCTAACCGCCTAATAAAGACCGCCATAATTTTATTGATTTGTCCCAGACACCGAGCCATCGTGGCCGGGACCTTGGCATATCGACAGTGAAACCGAGGAACCATCTCGGACCACACCACCAACACATCTGGAGCCAGCTCTCATAACCAGTCCACATCCCTCTTTATCCATCTGAGCAATTCCTTTTTTGGAACCATGCGCAGATCATTACCTCCAGCATGGATTAACAGTACATCCGGAACGGTGCCCCTTGCCACCCCCTCAGAATTTACCGACTAATACCTGCCAACCAAAACCCCAAAAACCAAACCACTCTAGTGTCACCAACTCCAGAGGAAAGCACAGCTGCACTCCTGGTTTCCGAACTGCGGTTCTCTTCTGTGCCCAGTAGATGTAAGAGTGGCCCACCAACCAGGCCACCCAACCTAAAATGAAAACAGAATCAGTGACAAGTCATAACACCAAAGACCACCCCACCAATCCACGCCCATTAGACCAAGTGTTCGGGACATAAGGAGGACTTAAAATGTACCGACTCCCACCTACCTATACGTTTCACCAGTTCCTCACCTAAACCCAAGCAGGGCGCCTCCATCGCTGCCCCTATCTGGAAGGAATGGGTCACAAACTGCATGGAAACCAAACCCAGCTCTGTCAAACCCAACCGAAAAACCCCAAAGAATTAGAACCGTGACAAAGCGGAACCATCCCCATGTACGAAAAATCAACCCAGGACGTCCGGGCGAAACTCCACATAGTGCAATGCACATGAAAAAGGGTAGACACCTGACCCAGGTAGGGAAAATAGTATTACCAAACAACCTTTACCAAATACATCCATCTTTTTACGGCCAAACCGAATCACCACCGTAATTCGATGTCCGAGTGTTGAACCCCACAACACCTGCCCGAGAAGTACTCACCAGTTCACCAATCCAAAAGGCCCCGAAGAACGCCCACTAGAAGGAAACCGAGAATAACCCCACCTCGAAAGGAGATGAACACACCGCCGGCAGCACACCCACTAAGCGCTGCAGGACTTCAAAAGATACTGGTCTTCTAATATCCACCGATTTCTTACCTCTCCTAAAGCCCCGTAAGGCTTGACAAATAAGGAAATGTTTTGAAACATCCTCCCAACCATTCAGCTTGAACAGAAATGCCAATGCCGCCATATTCCTGTGAGTCACCCTGGGTACCGTAACGGCTTAGCCAAGGCAACATCGGCGCAACCTTCACCGGGGTTACCCCCAGTGGAAGTGGATGGTGCCACTGCTCCGCCGGTAGATGCAGACTTTGCCCACTTGAAGCACCTGTTGAGGCTGAGGGCCCCCCCGCTGCCTGAAAATTCGTGCTTAAACTTACACGAGGCACCCCACTTGCATTGTCCTTCATTAAACGTCCAACAGAACCCTTTCTTTTGACTGGCCGATGAAGAGGAGGTTGATCCCACACCAGCCCCACCCTGAAAGGGCGCAGCTTTCTGAGCCATCATCAGTTTCTTCCATAGAGGTAGGTCCATCTGGTCCCACCGCATCCTGGGATTAGCTGACAACCTTTGAGGGAACTGCTCATCGTACTTCCACCATGCTAAGCCCCTATAAGTGTGAAAAGCCTCCCAGATCCCATCCAAATAGCAGAAAAACTGCAAATACTGCTCTGGAAATTTCTCCCCCAAAACACTAGCCAAAATGCAGAATGCCCGAAGCCAATTCCCAAAAGTCTTGGGTATCTTCCAATACCTCCGTCTCTTTTCCGCCTCCTCTTTCTTGGCATGCTTCTTATCTTCCTTCTTCAGATCAAGATATTCATCCAAAAGAAGGAGCGAGAAGATCTCGAGGAATTCGCCCCACCAAATCTTTTCCTTCACTTCCAATTTTTAGATGACAACCCAAAGGCCCAGCCAATGACACGTGGACATTCTGCCTGGCTACCGCAGGGATCTCACCTATTAACTCTGCTCGTTCGTTGACTTCGGACAATGTCCCTAAACCGAGTGAAGTCACCGTAGTCCTGCCCTGAACACTGCCCGCCGCAGCCACCGGAATTGCTGTTGCCACCCCACTCCCGCCTGTCGGTAGACCCCACACCCGACTAAAATGCTCCCCCTGTGTATCCCCAACAGCCCAAGTGTTAAGAAAGGACATCAAGCTATCCAAGAGATTCCCGAAGTGTAGTGCAGAAGAAGACTCATCGCCAGAACCTCCTGCAGTAGAAGACCGCAGGGCCACTGTCCTGCCATCCACCTCGAGAGGTTCAGGAGTAGCGTCATAGCTTCTGCATCCAGCTGCCGGGTCCTGCCTCAGAACCATAGGAGAAGGAGTTGCTGACCTCTGGGAAGAAGACAACCTGAGTAGTCTGCTCCTAGGAGCCCCAACCCGTACATCCTTCCCACGTTCCCGACCCCATTCCCTGTCCTCACAACGTCTGGCCGTCTGGCCAGATTGGCCATAAGGGGTAAGCCTATCCTTCTTATAACTCCTGTTAGGCGACCTGTAAGACCTACTCCTTGCCCTATCCTCGGAAGAAGGTGAACGCCCCCAGCTGTAATGCCTTACAGAAGGGTTCCTGTCTCTGCTGCGCCGACCCGCCGTGGACGTCTATCCTCACTGTGCCTGGTCCTATCCTTGGAACTGAAAAGTAGCCTGGCCTGGGACACCTGGTGACCCGCTATCCCTCATCCTAGAGCGGCGCTCCCTGCACTCCTGGACAGCATGACTCCTCCAATCCGGCCTATCCAACTGCCTGGCTCCATGTAGCCGTACGCACTCTCTCCCACCTGACCCTGCGCGGGACGCGCTGCACCCCCCAGGCCCCTGTTTAGGCCGCATTCCCTCTATCAAGGTTCCTATCTTGCCTGTTAGGCCTGCCTGGCACCTCCCTAGCATAGTACTGCTATGTCCTATCCCTGCCTGGCTGCCTGAACCAGCCACTGCGCTGACTAAGGCCCACTTGTGACATTGGCCTCCACCGCAGCTGACCCGGCCCCAGCCAGGGCAGTACCAGACTTTTTCCTGCAGCCGGGACCCTCCACAGCCTATTCCCCACTGAGCCCCTATGTCCTGCCCCACACTCCCCGAGGATACAAGGCCCGTGGGACCCAACTCGCCAAGAGCGGCAGGGCATCTCCAGTGTTGATCGCAGACCAGGCGATTACTCCAAGCCACACCGGAGCCCGCCGTCCTCAGCACCAGACCTTTCCTGCCAGCCGCTAGCCGACTGGGTGCAGCCTGACCCAGGAGACGCAGACGTGCTGCCTCCCGTCCCGATCCGTTCCAGCAACGCCGCCTGACATAGACTGCCTTCCAGGGGCCTCCGCGGCTGACACCGCAGGCCCAGCTCTCTCACCGCCATTGCGACCACATGGCCTCCTCCGGAACCGTCTGCCACGGGAGCAGCTCCTGGAGATGGGCTCCTGTGCTGTCACTGAACCAGGGCTCAAACGTTGGGGAGGCCTCGTCCTCTGGCACAGGCCATTGCTCAGGAACCACCGTGGGCGCACTAAACGGCCCAAGGGATGCCATCCACTGCTGCAGCCAAATGATGCCGCGCTACCTCACTGCCACACAAACACCCGCAAGGAATTCTTCAACAGAATCCATCTGAAAAAGAAAGAAAAAACCTACCCAAACTTGAGAGACAACTAACCAGTGAGTTTAGGTTTAGTTAAGATGGCGACTTCCCAAAATGGCCGGTATAAATACTCCCATCGTAGCTCCGCCCCACCCAGGTTGCTTGCTGTTTTCCTATGGCTGTTATGCCTACCTCCTGGCTCTGTCAGGCTGTGCTGATCCATGGGCTACAAACTTAATGGCACTTAGTTTATTAAACGTGGAAGGCTAAATGTCTTTATTTAACATTCTGAGAGTCTGATCTGTGCTAAAATTGAAGGTCTGACACGAGTAGCCAGCACGAGAAGCTACTATCCACTGCAAGCCTGGATGGAATTTCTACTCGCCAGGGCTGATGGACTAGTGGAATTTTGAGCCCTGATGAGAGGCGACTTGTTAGTATGCAATGGAAGAGATCCCACCATGCATTAAGCAGAGAGGGACATTTTGAAGAAATTGATAATTATACAAAAATGCAATTCATCAAAATAAATCTAAAAGGTCTCCTACAGCAGTGCATACAATACAGATGAATTTAACCCGCTCAGGGCCATGCACATTGATGCCATGAGAGCGTATGCGTGCATAGAACACTTTACAAGACATTACATTCCTGAGCGTGTGTGTGCATGAGTGCCATTTCTCGGCAAATGCCTGAGGCCACAGGAGTGCACCCAGAACATCATGGGGCAATCACTGCGCCCTGGACGTGGATGTGAAGTAGCCACATGCTGCCACGTGTACGCCAGCCCCACCAAGTTCACACATTATATGGCTGTACATCAGGAAATCCCACGTTATGGGTTTTGTGCACCTGTGTGTTTAGTCATGAGCCACATGTATAAAAAATTATACAACCTGTTTATTTGATGATGAGCAATGAGAGATTACAAGCTCTTGTGCCATCTGCGGCTTGTGGCATGAGGTTAGTTTCCCACAATGCATCCCTCTCAGGGTCTGTTTATTAATGGGGGAAGTGCGTGTTCCCGCTGCGGAATGTGGCATGGGAACGCCGGCTCATGTTGTGCATTCAAAACAGCACTTTTTAGCCAAGAGAAATAGAGAAAGAACAGAGGGGAAGCCCCTAGTGTAATCCTGGCATGTCTGTGCGGACACAGAGCCTGAATATTTCTCTCTCTGCGGCAGGAAAGGAACAAACCAGATTACGATACAGAACTGCTGCCCCGTGCTCTGTGCTTTCATTACAAATAGTAACGAAGTGATCAGGGCTGGATTGACTGTCCTTGCTGCCCCAAGGCAGGTATTCTCAATATACCCCAATGTGTGTGTGAGTGTGTGTGTATATGCATGCGTGGATGGTTGGATTGAGGCTGAGTTTTTGTGGGAATGCGGCTCGTTGGTGTGGTGTTGCATGTTCATGGGTGGCTGCTTGTTGTGTTGCATTCTGGACTGTAGTGGCGGAATTGGAGATTTAGTGGGTGGGGGTAGTGGCTATAATGGGGTGACACTGGCTGTGGTGGGGTGACCGGGATTGTGTTGGAGTGACAGTGATTGAGATGGGATGACAGTGATTGAGATGGGATGGCTGTTGTGTGGTGACAGTGGCTGTGTTGGGATGACAGTGGCTGTGTTGGGATGACAGGGGCTGTGTTGGGATGACAGGGGCTGTGTTGGGATGACAGGGGCTGTGTTGGGATGACAGTGATTTAGATGGGATGACAGTGGCTGTGTTGGGATGACAGGGACTGTAGTGGGGTAACGGGCTGTAGTGGGGTGACAGGGGCTGTGTTGGGATGACAGGGGCTGTAGTGGGGTAACGGGCTGTAGTGGGGGTAACGGGCTGTAGACGGGTAACAGGCTGTAGTGGGGTGACAGGGGCTGTGTTGGGCTGACAGGGGCTGTAGTGGGGTAACGGGCAGTAGTGGGGTGACAGGGGCTGTGTTGGGATGACATGGGCTGTGTTGGGATGACAGGGGCTGTGGTGGGGTGACGGGCTGTAGTGGGGTAAAAGGGGTTGTGGTGGGGTGACAGGGGTTGTGGTGGGGTGATAGTGGTTGAGGTGGGGTGAAGGGCTGTGGTGGGATGACAGGGGCTGTGGTGGGGTGATAGTGGTTGAGGTTGGGTGACTTGGGCTGTGGTAGGGTAACAGGGGCTGTGGTGGGGTAACAGGGGCTGTAGTGGGGTGATAGTGGTTGAGGTGGGGTGACAGGGGCTGTGGTGGAATGACGGTGGCTGTGGTGGGGTGACAGGAGCTGTGGTGGGATGGCAGGGGCTGTGGTGGGGTGACAGGGGCTGTGGTGGAATGACGGTGGTTGAGGTGGGATGGCAGGGTCTGTGGTGGGCTGACAAGGGCTGTGGTGGGGTGATAGTGGTTGAGGTGGGATGACAGGAGCTGTGGTGGGGTGACGGTGGCTGTGGTGGGATGGCAGGGGCAGTATAAAAGTTTATTTCCCCCTCCCTGGTGCTTACCTTAACACATCCTGATCCATGGTGGTCCGGTGGGAGATGCTCCTTCTGGCTGGAGCCAGGGAATCTATCAGATCGTTGCCATGGTAACGCCCAGATATACTACAGGCTTTGGAGAACCTCCCTCTATTCAAGCACCAGCCCTGTGGTGGCTGGCCAGGGAAATCTCCCCTGTCAACCTCAGCCACACAGCAGGAGAATGAGCTAGCTGGACCTCTCCGGTCTGCTGCCCCCAAGCCCTCTGCTTGCCCAAGCACCGACAGTGATGCGTTATCTTTGCACAACATTTTTCTTTCTGAACTACACTTCCCATGATGCTCAGCCTGCCCTAGTAGGTAAAAGCGATAACCCCAGTAATTGCTGGCAGTGATGCTATGGGTTATACTGTTGTTTTTTTGTTTTTTAATAAATATCTCTATAAAGAGAAATAGGAACCAGTGCACCAACAACATAAAATGTTCACCTTTGGCTTTTTTTCCCTAGTGTGTAAAACCCATGAAGATATTTTCATAATTATCATTAATGTGCAAATAGACCATCATTTATGTATAACAACCGATGCATTGCCGGGAGGCGCAGTCAAAACGCAGGGGATGTATATTTTAATGGCACCAGCTTTGCCATGCACCAATCAGAGCAGCACATGTTCAGAGAAGTGGGGATGCCTGGGAGTGTTGGTAGTACATACAACTAAAGGTTTTAGGTTAACGTTGAAAACTCCAACTTAAAGAATTAACTGGAAAAAAATAATAATTATACAAAATAATTCAAATTTAGCCTTGAAAGGGGGTCAGAGAAAGCCTTGCTTGTGAACTAAGTTTATAATGCGTCCGACGCTGCGCTGACAGCAGCCTTGGGGGGGGTACTCGATCTCAGTGATTAGACTCACCTGAAGGCATGCAGGACATGGCACGTTGAGACCAAAATGGCCTGTCAGAGTCTGCTATGCAGTGCCATGAAATCGCCCCCCTGACCTCCATCAGGTCCCGCTAACTGACAGTATACTAACGTGGATCTGAAAAAAAATATCAAAAAATAAAACTGTGTGCTCGATTTATAAAAAGTCATACAGCAGTGTTTAGATTTGTTCCACCCAGGATCAGATCATTTACTGACTGACTGTTTACTTTGTATCTCTGTACATTTTCACATTATATATGTTATAACTGGTATCGCGCTCCAGAGAGAGGCTGGAACTGTACCCCCAATCTCACTCACATTCCCCTGGCAGAAATATTCAGACCTATTAGAACCAATAGCTTTCATTTTGTATTGATGTTATTGTTGGTTTAATTATTTCTCTGTTTGCTATTTGCACTTTTTTCTCAGCTGTTCAGCAAATTTTGACAAGTTGGCAAATTATAGAAGTTTATAAAAGGGGCACCCCAGGCCCCTAGAGCACTTTGTGTGCAGAGCGTGTCCATTTTTTTATTTAACAAAAAGTGCAGATTTCAATAAAAATGGTCACTTTTATAAATTTATATTGTTACTCCCCCCAGCTGGCAATCAGACAGCCGATCCTGTTACTTCCTGGTTTGGTTAGCTCAGTGGAACTAAACCCAAGAGGCATCAATTGCTCAGAGCACCTGTTTTGCAAAGACTTCTCACTGAGCTGCATTGGGAAGTCTGTGATTGGACAGCCACAGAAAGTCTGGGCAGGGTTAGAAGGGGAGGGCTTGCAAAGGCTGCAGACAAGAAATCTACAGGTTTTACAAGCTGTTTTTAGATATACCCCCAACGGTAACATGCATAATTAAATACAAATGTTTTACTTGGGGATATATATACTACATAATATTTTTTTATTATTTTTATTGGGATAGTGGAGTGTCCTGGGACAGTCTGGAATTATTTGAGACAGACATCCTACCCAGTGAATGCATCGAATTAAGAGTAGCCCTACACAAAAGCCAACCAGAGCTGCTGGGGTGCAAGCATTGTTGAAGCGTGTTTTCTACGCTTTATATTGGGACTACTCTGCCACATCCGTGACCGTTGAGAGGTATGCGCTGAGACTTATTATACTCTCCACAGGTCAGCTATGCTATGCCTCATGTATGCAGAGAATTTTGGGGTTTACCCACCAAATAGTGTATTATGGAGGACTGATAAGAGAAAAGCATAATGTAAAAATAAAATGGCTTTGAGTTCAGCTTGTCTGCAGTAAGTTTCAAAATCACTTGAAATTCTCTCTTTAGTAAATAACCCTGTTTGTGCTGAGAATGTTACACTTCTCACAGCTCTCATATCACCACAATGTAGATCCATGGACGGGACAAGCTCAAATCACTTGTCCAAATCTCAAACCCCGGGGCCGGCTCTCCAGGTGTCCAGTGAGACAGTTACAGCTGTTTCTGCTGCATATCTCCTTGTGCAGGGTCAGTGTCAGCTTATCAGGTAATGAAAGATTTACTGCGGTCGAGCTGGTTAACGCTGCCCGCAATTCATTTTTTATTCTTTTTTTTACAAGTGGGTAAAAGCTAGATTTTTTGGGGGCTTGTGAAAAACTTGGCCTCCAAATTGCTTTTAAGAGGTTTTCAAAGGATTTTCAATATTTTCCTTGGATTCGGAGCCTTGAGTACCTTTTAATTTGGAAAAGCACCTCCTTAGTACAACGCTAATAAAAACCCAGCAGGCACACTTTACTGGCTTGGGTTAACTCTTTTCTTGGTGTACGGGGCTCAAGCCATGTCTGACTTGTGCAGCTGTGTCCTGAAGCGGAGGGGTTAAGCCGCTCTGTAATTCAGTATTGGCTCTCGGTAATGGGTTTGATTGAACGTGTCTCTATGGGACCCGGTGCAGCCCGTAACGAGACAGATGCAAACACCGCAGTCACATTACCTGCTCTCTAAAAAATGTTCCTTCCCAGCTCGCAGGAGTGTGCGTCCCCGCTCTGTGTTCTGCAGGAATAGTAACTACACATTATTTATTTTCACATCTATTAATCCTTCCCATAAGGGATCTCCATCAAAGCGGCATTTTTCATTTGTATATTTTTATTCTGGGCTAAACAGTGCAATGCTAACATCGCCAGTGATTTTATTTATAGTGGTTGAATGCCACAGGAGCATTAAATCAGGAGAGCCAGGTAACGACAACAAAGATTAATAAACCACAGTAACTAGGCTGCACTTCAAAGGCTCGGAATCGCACTCTCTGGCTTTATAAAACATTGAAGAATAAAATGAATTTATTTAGGAGTGTGGCGATTTTATTTTTCAATGTCAGTAACGAGGAAAAAATGCAGTTTTATATACTATACTCAAAAATCCACTGCCTGTTGATTGAAGGGAATCCTTTATTCAAAATTGACTTACACTATATAGCACTATACATCAAAATATAAGTTGTAATGTCCTTATCCCAAGTGTAAAAGATATTGTGCTTTTGGTTTTACTGCCCCCCTCCAGTGTGAGCGGCTGGGTTCCCTTAATAATTTACAGACAGCAGTTAAAGGCTTACTTTAGCCACCATGACCACTTCTGTGATTTAAAGTGGCCATGGTCGTAGGAGAACATATGTGCAGTGTTTTAGCTTAAAACGCTGCACACACTGAGATATTGGCAATTGTGTGCCAGGGGCTAGTTGCACCCCCAGAACTCAGCCCCGGACTGCCAATTGCCAATTTTGTGCATAAACTGCATCCATCTTTAGCGCACACAGCACGAAAGTATTGAGCCTAGTATTGTGCGCATGCGCTCTTAGCCTGTCTAATCGAAGGCTTCTCGTAGAGATTAAACATTGTGCGGCTGTTGCGAGGTCATGCGGGAGCATGAAAAGTCGCGCTGGGAGCATCACCAGGTAAGTAAAAATTACTTTAAATCTATTTTCATGAGGATATCCAGCGTCAAGCAAAACCCCAAAGAAAGCATGTATATTAGGTGCCCCCATCGGCTGATGTTGTTGTAGGTGGATCGTGACCCTGTGCTAAGGGCCATTGGCGCTGGAAACAGGTGAATGATTGAAATGTTTTTTTAACTTTTTCATGGATCGTGGGCAGAGGGACACTTTAGAGTAAGGAATAGAATGTTGTATTTCTAACAGTAAATTGTTCCTTTGAATCGTTTAGAAAGCTTACACAACAATATTAAATTGGGGCCTAAGGCTCGTTACGTGACCCAGCTCAGCCTTCCCGCTATAAATCATATTCAGCATACATTCAGTAGGATACTGAGTGACTGCCACTCCGGTGAGAGAGAATAGGCTCAGCTGCCAATGCATGCTGAACTCCCGGCTCGGATCTGAATGTTGGCACTCCCAGAATGTGAAGTGCCATCGCAGCTCGACAGCTCCAGGGAATTCTCAGACTTTCTCGCCTGCGTCCAAACACTAAATGCTTCGCAGACTGATCTCAAAGTGTATGGTGTCTGTCAAGGATTCCCCAGTTGGCCCATGGGGATCAGACTGTGCTCAGAGTTTTGTCCATTAATGGCTTTTAATGCAGATTTTCCAGAATAAATATGACACAATATTCAGAGCTTATAGATAAAGCCATAGCATGCACATGGGTGGCAGGTCTTGCATTCTATCTTTGTGCAATAGCTGCAACTGCATTCTCTACTCTCCATTCTCTGCATGCAGCGCTTACTAAGGTATCACTGCGTTTACACAGATCGCTGTATAGTTCATCTGATCCGCTTTGATATCTGAAATTCAACCACTTGGCAAAAAGCGGACTTGAGACTGTGCGGAGAATGTTTGTTTGCATGCTTCAACGGGGCATGTGCCAAGTGCAGTCACTGTGCCCACCCTGTCAGCCCTGGCCCTGCACACAGCTGGTGCTGGAGGCGTATCGCTGCCAGGAATGAGATTTCTGCTGTCTGGCGAGTGACTGTGTCTCAGCCGTGATTTGAGCTTTCAGCCTCCCAGGGGTTCAGGAATCAGACAGCTGACCACAGCGCTGGACAAGGAAGAACGGCAGAGATCAGACAGGAGGAGGAGGGGCTGGGTCAGAGCTTACTGCAGGTGGTTTTTAAATGATACTGTTTGCAGGACATTTAGCAACCCCCAACATTGGACACAGTGTACCCCAACATTTCAAATGGACACAGTGTATCCACAACATTTTATATGGACGCAATGTACCCCAACATTTCAAATGGACACAGTGTACCCCAACATTTTTATATGGACACAGTGCTCCCCCAACAGTTTAAATGGACACAGTGTACCCCCAGCATTTTATATGGACTCAGTGTACCGCAAAATTTTATATGGACACAGTGTACCACCAACATTTCAAATGGACACCGTGTACCCCCAACATTCTATATGGACATAGTGTACGAGAGAACTTTATATGGTCACAGTATACCCCAACATTTTATATAATCACAGTGTACCCCAGCATTTTATATGGACACCATGTACCCCCAACATTTCAAATGGACACCGTGTACCCCAACATTTTATATGGACATGGTGTACCAGATCATTTTATATGGACACAGTGTACCCCCAACATTTTACATGGGTACAGTATACCCTCAATATTTCTAGTGGGCATAGTGTACCCCCAATATTTTGATCATTTTATGCCCTTTGGAGCAGCAATCTGTATGCAGGTCTTTATGCTAATATAGAAAACGTTTGTCACTGTAACTTGTGCATTACAACTCCTAGAAGGCTCAGCCAGCTGTGTGGATGGCTGAGGTTTTTTGGGAAGCACCTTTGGTAACAGCTGCTGGTTATCCTCCATTTATACGAAGTAAACAAAGCCCTGAGCGGACACGTTACATCAATACATCATGAAGTCATGGAATTCAAGCCTCCTGTCTGCAAATCTCCTTTGAAGTTTTAGGAAAACGTTGCACGGCTCATGAATCGTGACTTGCCCCACCAATCATTAGCCGCAGCACGTCAAATTGGATTCAGACCTTCTTCATTGCTCTAAATTATTGTGACGCATCCGCCACTCACCGCCAGTATCCAGCTCCCATGCCAGGCCCTTAATCTTCTGTATACCCAGCTTGTTCCACTCTGCTGCCGAATTGGCCATAATGCCAGGATGAAATACAGTCTAACTCTCTTACATCAACCATCACCACTCTGGTTAAAACGTCTCCTTCATGACTACGCCTAGAGCTAGATCACACCATGCACAGGGGGGGTCTACACAGTGACTCTGGGAGACCACACCATGCACGGGGGGGGGGAGAGGGGAGCACACAGTGACCTAGGCAGACAGTGCCATGCACAGAGGGGGACACACACAGTAACTAGGGAAGACCCCATCATGTACAGAGGGGGCACACAGTGACTCTGGGAGACCACGCCATGCACAGAGGAGGGGGGGTACACATTGACCTGGGGAGACCACGCCATGCACAGAGGGGGGAGGGAGGGTACACAGTGACTCAGGGAGACCACGCCATGCACAGAGTATTGGTGGGAGGGACCTGGGGAGACCATATGAGAGGGGGAGGGAGGGTACACAGTGACTCTGGGAGACCACGCCATGCACAGAGGAGGGTACACATTGACCTGGGGAGACCACACGCACAGAGGGGAGGGAGGGCACACAGTGACTCTGGGAGACCACGCCATGCACAGAGTATTGGTGGGGAGGGGACCTGGGGAGACCACGCCATGCGCAGAGGGGGGAGGGAGGGTACACAGTGACTCAGGGAGAACACGCCATGCGCAGAGGGGGGAGGAAGGGTACACAGTGACTCATGGAGACCCCATCATGTACAGAGGGGGCACACAGTGACTCTGGGAGACCACCCCATGCACAGAGGAGGGGGGGTACACATTGACCTGGGGAGACCACACCATGTGCAGAGGGGGGAGGGAGGGTACACAGTGACTCAGGGAGACCACGCCATGCACAGAGGGGGGAGGGAGGGTACACAGTGACTCAGGGAGAACACGCCATGCACAGAGGGGGGAGGAAGGGTACACAGTGAATCAGGGAGACCCCATCATGTACAGAGGGGGCACACAGTGACTCTGGGAGACCACGCCATGCACAGAGGAGGGGGGTACACATTGACCTGGGGAGACCACGCCATGCGCAGAGGAGGGAGGGAGGGTACACAGTGACTCAGGGAGAACACGCCATGCACAGAGCAGACCAGGCTGTGACAAAGACCATGACGTGGAGGAGCCCACCATGACTCTTAAAGTATCTTATAAGACAAAAAACAGAGGAAAAGGTGGTGCTAAAGATAAGTGAAATATCACAGGTAAACACAGTACAGCATACAAAAAAAATCACTAAAGTGTATAGTCACTGAATGACACTTAGATACAAAAGTTTAAAAATGGAGATATGGTGATTGCGCACACATTGGATGATATTCTTGCATTAAGTAAATGTTCCCTAGGTTCTGTGGGTATAAAAAACCAACATAGGGTAATATGTCTTAACACAAATAAAGTAATAGCTAACTTGGAACACTCACAATATTTAGAGCCTTTATGAGTTGGCTCTAAACTATGACAGCAGATACATCAATCGGATGTAGGTATGTAGGTATAGGCTCAGGTCCCTGAGAAGGTATCAGGAGTACTCTGTTTGGAAATCAGTAACCAGGTAACCAAATAAATAAAAGGTTAGTACTTTTTATTTAACAATATAAAATAAATTCAATAAAAAAGACACAACGCGTTTAGACCTAGGTGCATATCTTGTGGCACGTGAGCAAACACTCTTATATACCATTCATAATGAAAAATCTAATTACAAACATTAACAGCTGGAAATCAATTGGCCGTCCTCTTTTCCATATATGGAGTGTTTCCGTCTGGTTCCGCCTCATCCAACATGGCCGCCGGGCTTTTATTCGCTATGGAAGTGTATCTGACCTTCCAAAGATGGCCGCGCATCAATACCGTATCGTGGCTAATTGCTGATGATAGTCACTTCCGGTTACGTCCGTTTACATTTACCATAGTTCCAGGGACCTGTGTGTTTCTAAATGTCCGTCATCCATTCTTATCGGAAAGAGGGCAGAGTCAATAGTTCCACTTAGGAACAATGTTCATTTGGTAACCATATTGAAAAAGGGAGAAAGTAATAAAACGAACGATAAATAGCATTATTATTATCAGAAAGATAAAATAAACAGCATATCTAGTAATACAGTAGTAATAAAATTATCAAAGAGGATAAATAACATATATGGTAATATTATTATTAATAATTAAAGGGAAAATGTGTCTGTTATAACCATTCTGGGAGTTGTAGTGCGCCAGAATTCACCACAATTTTATACAATGTGCAGATAGGCAGTTATATCACAGGCTAGCGTTCAGATACACACGCCACACTCGCTCTACATAAAGCCAAACTCCCCCCTTCCTGGCTCGGCCTTGCTGGATAGTGTTACCAGTTGTATCTGGCACTGAACGAGTTAAGTGACATTCCCTCTCCAGGTTCACTGTACCTTTAAATTACAGACTGGCATAATGATATAATTATCATCTGATTGCTGGAATGTACATTGAAAACAAGATTAAACAGAATTGCTGGAGGCTAATTTGGGGGCAGTTGATCCTACATGATTGGGGTGTCCCTCCATAATTAGACTGTTTTTGGCAACCTCACGTTCAATCTTGAGATGACTAAGATCAAGTCTCTGCTTTTGTCAATGGTTCCCCATCTGTTATTGCACTGCAACACCCATCATCCACAGAAAGCCGCTGGCAGGGTGAAGAAGGATTATGAAACATTTTCTTTTAATAAGAGATGGGTCTTGCTGCCCAGAGATGGGTCTTGGAGACATTTAAGCAGGGTTATTGCTTGTCAGAATATTGGCTTACATAGTCTGGCTGAGGATGATGGGATTGTAGTTGTAATGCAACGAATGCCTCACAGGTTAACAATGCTAAAATTTTAGTTTCCACCAACCAACTAAAACGGCGTCACATGTTATTGAGTAACAAAACATCAGCTGTCGTGATTTGGCCGAGGATGATATGAGTTGTAGTTTGCATCCAGCTGATGCCTGCTAGTTATAGCACCCCACAATCCTCTAATAATTTAGGTTATTGATTCACAAAATATTCGTTTTTACTCTCTGGATGAGAATGATGGGATTGGTAGAATTTAACCTGCTGACGCACCGTTAATTAAACCCTGCAGGGTATGGAGTGACTCAACGCTCAGTTGTGGCTTCAGGGGGGAAGCATCAGGATTGGCGGTTTATTTGACACACGGGAAGATAATGTTTCTCCACAGATGGAAAAGGGAGAACTGTTTAATAATTTCTTGCACCCCATATCCCCCCCTCCTCCTCGTTTCTAATTTCCTGTCTGGATCCCTGGCCAGTTGCAGCAGGTATGGCGAACATGCGACGGGAGCAGATTAGGCCTTAACCCTTGCGATGCCTGACGCATACTGCTGGGATTGTAATTGGACTTCACTGCACGCCTCGGGGCTGATCCCACTGTCTGATCGACTTCAGGGGCTCATTCACTAATTGGAGCAAATGAAAACCAAATTGCAACATTTAGGCTCAAATATCTGATTTGGAAAAATTCATGATTATAGTCACAGCTTGATTATGATAGCCTCTATCTGTGTACTTTTAACAAATCACTGCAGTTATAAGCCATACTATGAGCGGAAAGCATGGTACTCTCTGTACCATAACCTACGCACTGAGCTTTAGTTGTTATGGTTTTTAAATATCGAATCCAGCAGAACCGCTCAGGAATGTCACAATGTGACGGTAAGTTATGTGCGTAGCGCTTTGTAGGGTCCACACTGTTCGGAGACCCTGTGGATCCATTTCTTAGTAGTGCGAAGTAGGAGTTCTGTGCGTATTCCGAATATTTTAAGCTTTTCGCAGCTAAAATTTTCAACTAAAAGTTAATTTGGGGGTTCCGTTAATGCAGTCTCTATACATTTCTGTTTATGAAGTCTGCAGGCTGACGGTACGTTCTGTGGCTCAGCTTGCTACAGAGGATTTTTCTATAGCCCTGCACTCTGCATTTGTTAAAAGCAACCTCAATAAAAAGGTTGGATCAGGTTACCCTATGTATACAGGTCACCGACACACTGTTTTCCGTAGAAAATGGAGAATGGGATAAACAGATCCCTTCCATTATGCGAGTTTGGTTCTTCGCGGGGCTCTTAATTTAATGACTGTAGTATGTCACTGCTATTAAATGCCTGGAAAATAGCAAAGCTCTCTGGCTGCAGATCCTCTGTACGGCTCCAGAGGTGCCCCTCGTGAATTCATGTAATAAAGATTATTACAGTTCTGCTGCTTTTCCCCATTATTCCTTCTGTGCTGGAGAAGAGGAATGTGTAATAATATGTACACTCACCATTTGTTAAATCTCTTATCCATCCCGATATCCTCAGGGAAGGATCCCTGTGAGACCAAACCAGGAACTGAACACATTACAACACAGCGTTGCACACTGTCTGGGGAGCAGACGGATACAGAAACACATATATCCATCCACCAGCAGCTATTATCCAGAGTAGGAGCTTGGTCATAGGCCATGGCTGTGCGTCAGTTAACGCTTGTCTTATCAGAGCAAATCAAAAGAAGCCACAAGAGAAAAGAGACTAAAAACCTTAAAAATAATGTGAATAATATCTAATGTGAATAATGTGACAATAACATCTCCGTTGGGGGTCTGGTGGCAGGGAGGCAGGTAACGGTGAGATTTATTTACCTGAACCTGTCCCTCGCAGGCCATCTCCCTCCGTCAGGTCCTCTTGAAGTGCCAGGAGCTGACATCACTGCTGTACTCTCTCATTCGCGAAAATACAGAATTGATGTCCATGGAGGAGACCGCGGCATCCTACATAGACAGAGCCAATTCCCTGCAGCCTTCACTGGTGATACCTTTGGGATTGACACTATAGATCCGCCCAGTGTCTAAGAAAGTCAGGGGGAGGAAATATACAGAGACAAAGTTTCTTAAATCGGTTGGAATTTCAGTGGAATATCTTTACTCATTTTTCAGGGGGATGTGACAGTGCCGCTTTGAGAACCATCTGTATCACTTTTATACCACCGGGCGTCCAACATTGGCGCCAGCGTATTCCGCAGCGCTTTACAATATTGTAAAATTTA